TAATATAACATTTTATAAAGATAATAATTAAGTATTCTGTTAGAACTCAATGATTATCCTAATTATATTTTAGATTTTTTTATATTTAAAATGAGATGTTTATCCTGTATTTGATTGTGTTTATCTGCAGTTAGTTACACGAATTCAGATATAAAGATTTAATAAGTTATACATACGCACAATCTCATTTGTAATCTTGAATTTTAAGTAATATGCATTAATAAACAATATTTTACGCATAAAAAGTGGTTTTTAAGAGTTTTTGTTAAATGATTTATAATATATAATATATTTTTTTCTATAATTTAATTTAAGTTTAATAATAAAACAATTTATTTTTGGTTTAATATTATAAATTTTATATAAATAATAATTAAGTATTCTGTTAGAATTTAATGATTATACTAATTATATTTTAGATTTTTTATATTTAAAATGAGATGTTTATCCTGTATTTGATTGTGTTTATCTRCAGTTAGTTACACGAATTCAAATATGGGATGAAATCGGATAGGGATGAAATCATTTAGGGATGAATTCATTTAGGGATGAACGGGTTTAAGAGTTTTTAAGAATTTTATGAGTTTTAGCCAAATGCTTTATAAGATAGTATACATAAATAATATTTTAATCAAATAAATTTTATAAAAAACGAGTATTTTATTCTTTTCGAATTGACGTCTATATCGCTCTTTTTCTCTATCTTTTAACCGGTTATACATAAATTGATATATAACAAAATGACATTTAATTTTATTATAAATATTTATATATGTTTACATGTGTATTGCCTCTTTCCACATCAATATGATATTTATCATTAATATCTTAAAATTCAAATTTAGAAGTTATTCTAGCATACATACAAAACCATAAAAAATAATATTAAGATGACTTTCTAACTTTTAAAACAGCAAAAACCATATACATGTCAAAGACCTTCCAGCCTAGTGGTAAAGGCTTGGGCATGGCATAGTCATGAACCCGAGTTCGAGCCCTGGGAGGGGAGTGTTGGCGACATTTAAGTGGGGCCATGTTTAGCCTCCAAATTTGCCGGGGATTAGTCGGGCTTTGGCCCGGACACCCTTACAAAAAAAACCATAAACATAAAATTAAGATGGATGAATAGATGATAGAAACATTAAACAAAATTTGAGACTTCAAATCGAAAATTAAACCAAGTTGCATTGGACGACTATAATTCTAGTTATAAACTAAATTATCATTCACATTTTGTTGCTTTCCTTTTATAGCTGGTGTGAGTGAGACTTAATAGACGTTTATTGAACGCTTATCCCGTAATGTTAAGAATCTTACTAGGTAGTAGCGATGATAATGATGAAGAGTCTTACCCGGTAAACATATGATACGATTTTGATGTACTACAATCTTACCTGGTAAAACAAATCATAGTATTGACTTATATTGATAAACGCTTACTGAGTAAGCATATGAGTAAATTGTCACTTAAACTCTCACTTAAGGTTATCTTTAATATATATATAAAAAAGTCATACTTTCTTTCGCTTATTTTAATTTATTCTCAACATTACTTACAATCATGTCATATGTGATATACAGTTATATTGTCTAATAAAAAAAGATGTAATCATTTGTTAAATGTTTAATAAAACTACTTAACTATGATAAATTAATTAAGCAGGAAACATAATATCTTATATGAAAATGATATATATATATATATATATATATATATATATATATTCTTAGAATTGTGGAATTTAGGACAAAAATTTGATGGTCTATAAACAATGGATCCATGTTTAAAATAAAACAAAATTATAAACACATATAAATAATCACTATGATTGGTTTACAATACAATCATGTTGTAATGATTTATTTATCATCCATCAATAATGTTATACTATAACATGGTATGTCTTTGAGCCCCAAACATTCCCTTTCACCATCCTCCAACCCCACCTAACTATAATATAAATATATATATATATATATATATATATAAAAGATGTTTCATTTATAAATCATCTGATTCTAATAAACTACAAAACCATAACTAATGCTTATATTAGAAAGAGATATTTATCGACAATTATCATATTCATTAATTATGATATATATATATATATATATATATATATATGGAAGATAATAAGATTCATTTATTATGATCATGACTTTAGATTATGAAGGCTCACGCTTTTTTAATGATATTTTTTATGGTTATGCCGGCGATGATAGATGGATCAGGAATGGGAAAGCTGCATATGATTCCTAATCTTAATAGCTTATTCAAAAAGCAAAATGAAATCAGATATTTGTTAGATTAGATAGACAGTTAAGACTGGTTTATATGTATATATATACACACACACACACACGCATATATTATGCGTCCAGAGGTGATGATTCATTAGTAAATTGAGTTCATTCTATGCAGCAATGCACATGTTTCTCCATATTCACATGTGATGATACAAGTGAGAGAATATAACAGTATACAACTAACTGACCTGTGATCTAGGTAGCCCGCTTTTTTTATTTACCATCATATGTGATGGATTATAGTATCACATGTGATTGACTATAGTAAAAAAAATGTTTTTACGTTTTCATAACATGGTGTTATTCTTGTTTGAACCCTCTTTAGGTTCAAATGAGAAGGTAAGAAGTTCCAAGTCATATATGATACAAAACGTAATCACATGCATACATATTGCATTGACCAACCATATAGCACACGACTTCTCCCATGACGTTGGTCACGTTGATCAAGTCACTCATGTCTCCTTTGAACATGTTATACCACTTATGATTTTACTCTGTAATCACATGTGATCCCCCCCCCCCTCTCTCTCTCTCTCTCTCTATATATATATATATATACACATACATACATACATACATACATACATACATATAAAAAGAGAGAGTGTGTCAGGCTTATACGAGATCATTAACCAAATAAAAAAAATAAGAAAATGGTAGAATAACATGTGATTTTACACTAAAATCACATACAAAATCACATTTGATTTACGTGACTTTAGCCATGAGCTAAGGTGACACCATTGTGTTAACTGTTAGTAAAAAATCACAAATGATTTACGTGATTTTGCATGTGATTTGATCATTTTCATGTTCTTTTATTTAATTATTGTTCTCGTTTAAACCTTGCTCCATAACTCTCTCTCCCTCTGTGTCTGCATATATATATTTAGAGTAATAGACCCTGGTGTTGACCATACATGAGACACAAACATGTTGCCTAATCAGGCAAAACAGCTGAGCATGTCTCATGTGTCTGACCACACAAATAATTCAATCATTAAGGCTACAACACAACACATAAACACCACAAACCCTTTATTCTTTTTATTACACAAGAAAACCCCTCTAAACACACATGACCCATTTTCTCTAATATCAACATTCTCAATTACTCTTAAATTTATATCACACACAACACTACCAAACACCATTTCAACCCTTCAATCATTCATCTAAATCATCGGTTTCTTGTTTTGGATCTTTTATGACATTAATGCTATTGCATTCCATGTATCTAAAACAAGATATGAGATGATCATTGACCATACCAGATATTTGCATGAACGAATAGACGACGATAGGACCCACACAACGAAACCCTCTTTGCATCATATCTTTGCTCATCGCTTCTGACTTTGGTGTTTTAGTTGGTATTTGACGACGATACCGAAATCCATTCTTTATCGGTGTGTGGTTTAGGAAGCGCCAGCAGTAGCTGCTGAAGGACCCAAACTCTTGCTGGATCTGCAGAAAATTAGATGAATTGTATATCATTTACAAGTATACCACATGAGTCTCTTGGTTCTATGCTTAAGTCAAACCTCTGGCCATGTTGACCTCTTCACTAAACTACAGAAATTAACCCAATAGACCATAGCCCAATCCACCTGCATCTATAGCAAATGGGTCGGACTTGAACCACCCACAAACCAACTATAAGATCTTGGGTTTGCTCCCCATAGGTTATTAGTTCGAGTCCTTTCAGAGCACGTGAAGGTTTGCCCAATTGTTAACTTTAGTACCCATGGGATTAGTCGAAACAAGTTGGCTCACACACTAACTGTTACCCCAAAATTAAATCATGGCCAAACCGTTTGCATATAAACCAACTGGGTCAAGATAGGACCAATGCATTTGGACAAGGGCATGCAGCCTGGCGACCCACAGACTGACTGTGGCCAAACCGTTTGCATAGTGTAAATGGGCCAATTTGAACCAACCCATTTGGCATGGGCCATAGGTGGCCAGGCCTACTTATTTCACCAGTTTAGACAACCGCAAAGCTGACCATGGGAAGCACTTGGGTTGTGGCATACCGGTTAAAGTTCAAGGGGATGTGGTGGAAATCTCATCCTCCTCTGAAACCAAGCGCTGCCAAAACCCTTGTGGCTATGGAGCTTCACCTGTGATGCGATGACTCCAGGCTGTTTGTGGTCGCATGGGGAATTAGTCCGTGCACGTAAGCTGACTTGGATACCCACAGTTACCCAAAAAACTGAACAATGGCAAGCAAACAATGGCCCAACCCATTCCCATCTAAACTAAACTGAGCCAATTTTGAACAAACCCATTCAGGACTTCCAAGTCTATTAATAGACACTTTGACACTACCAGTACCTTAAGCAGCGCAACAGCATTCCCCACGATAGCACGTAGTTTTTGTTCTGATAGCAACAGGCCACCATTTCGCCTGCCCGACAATAGCCTGTCCTCGGGGAACTTTGCAATGGATGATGGATTGAAATTTTCAAAAAGCTTTCTGCCAGAAAAAAATATATTTGAGTGTTAGTATTGGTCTGAATTATAGTCTCTAGGAGTCATGATCATTTCTCATACTGCTGATTGAATGACCGATATATTGATATTACAAGTTTGAAGTTGTTTACCTGAATTTATCTCTCTTATAAAGAATTTCTGGCCAAGTGAGTTCTGCAGATGCTTGTGACAAAACTAGTAGTTCAAACAGCTTCCCGTCTTCATGAACTGGAACCCCCCATTCTTCATCATGGAAAGAAACATAAAGTGGATCTACAGACAATAAAGTAGCAAGAAACAAGGTGACATCGTTGGATTAACAACAGATCGGTCTTTTTTAGCAAGCTAAAATGATCGTATTCACAACAGTGTGCAACTTTCAGTATATGATATACACTCTCTATTGACGATTATTGTTTCGGATTTCATCAAACAAATTACCCTTTTATAGCCAAAGCAAACAGAGGTGCTAGTTTCAAACTCATTTCCATTCTGAACTGAAGTCTAAGGGAATGTTCTCCCATTTTCACTCTTAATTAGTTAAAGGAAGGTAATTTGATGACATCTTTGCTTATGTGTTAGAGGCCTTCTGGCTTTTTTTAAATTTTCTACTTACTATGTTGTCAAGTTTTTAAATAAGAAAACCACAAGGGTGGTGCCTGATTGGTTTGAGCTTGGCTTCACAAGTCAAAAGTATCAGAGGTCGCGGGTTCAAATCCAAGGAGGAATAAAATCCCCTTGTGGCTCATGGAGGTTCAAATGAGGTGACTCCGGGCTATCTGCAAAGTAGGTGGTCCCCCTGGAATTAGTCGGCTCGTATAGCGGGTTGAATCCAGGTTAATAAAAAAAAGTTTTTAAATAAGAATACTTTTTGACCTTTAACAATTGGATCTTTAAAAAATCTGGATTTTATAGATGGATAGTTAGGTTTTAAACCTGATTTCATTCATATGCTGCATACCTAGAACTTTTTTCTAGTAATACCAGCTTATACATATGATTAAGGTGCCGTTTATCAAAAGCTTACTCGGGTAAGCGCTTACCAAGTCACTTTACTTTACCGGATGAATATGGCAAACACCAAGAATCTTATCCGGTAAGAGCAAAGGCAATAATCGAGGGTCTTACCCGGTAAGTGAGGAGGAGGACTCTTACCATGGTTAGCGCTTACCGGGATAAATCGTTGCACACGATGCATTTTAGTGAATAAAATCTTACCCGATAAGGAAGTGATAGCGTTGAATTTTACCGGTAAGTGCTTACCGGGTAAGTGTTTAGGTAAACGGCCCCTAAAGATAGGAAATGAAAATGCCAGAGAATTGTAAATGGAATGAAATTAAAATGACAGGGAATGACTTCTCACAGTTTCTTTTAACGGCATTCACATTGATTACTGCTTAATACCTCTTACCAAGCATCCCCTTATCTCTAAAATGAAGAACACAGTTGGAGTTAATGCAATTTTTCAAAGGTTTTGATTTCTTTTTTTCTGTTTTAAATGAATTATAGCAAATCTGTTGAAGGTTGGAATTTTGGGATAAAAATCTATTGTCTCATATTCTCACTCAATCTCATGAATAAACGTCATCAAATAGAGAATGTAACCTTAAATAAATAAATCTAAAATATCGTCAAATAAAAAATGTAAATTTAAATAAAATAAATCTAAAATATAAAAAATTTAATGTGTCTTAATATTATTAGTTAGACATGAATCAAACATGTGATTTTAGGACACCGTATTCTTATTGAATCTTGGACAATCATTCCCATTAATTAAGTAGCTCATATAAACCTTAAAACCATAAAAGTATAGACCCTCTTTAATGGGCACTTCACCTTTCCTACCAAACTCCATTTTTGACACTATGAGGTCGTTCACCAAACGCTTTATCAGATCACATTACATTATCAGATGAATATGATAAGTACCAAGCATCTTAGCCGATAAAAGCGAGACAAGGACCAAGAATCTTACCCGGTAAGTGAGGATAACGAATCTTGCCAGGTTAATGCGCTTACCACGTAAATTATTGTATACAATGCCGTTTTGATGGATAAAATCTTACCCGGTAAGTAAATGATAGTGTTAATTTTTGCCGGTAAACACTTTCCGGGTAAGTGTTTGCTAAACGGCCCCTAAATATTTTCAACGAAATTTCATTTTTCATATAAAAAAATTGGTATTATGAATTGGAAAACATCAAATTTGATGTTATAATATTAATTTACATTATCTTTTGTTAAGTTTTTTATAATTATAAAATGATTCTTTTAATTTTAAAATTTATATATATTTTTAATAGTTTTGAAAAATAAGTATTTTTACATATTCTTTTATCAAATGATTACTTTTGTATAAGAAAAAAAAACGTATAATCTTCAAACTAGAGTTTCATTTACCTGAAAATTGGGTGATCCAATCGCACCGTTTAAACGGAATAGACAACGTCGTTAAGGGAGCTTCGCCTCCTTGCAACTTCAACCTGTTGGGATCATGTTTCTCCCTCTTTTTGAAGCTCGGTATTTTCACAGAACTACCATCGGAAGAAGAAGATTTCGAAGAACACGAACTGTCTGCAGATTCATCATTCTTCCTAACAACAATTTGTGGCGATCTCTTCACTAATTTTACGAAACTCTTTGGTTTTTTCTCCACCAAATCCTTCTTCTTCAAACTCTCCTTCTCCTTCTCCTCTTCTTTAACTTTAACTCTGTTTCCAGCCGGTCCAAGTATTTTCCGCGATTCTGAATCGAGCTTTATTGACGGTGATACTGATGGAAGGTCAGTGGAAGCAGACATTAGCACTCAGAACAAAATGGAGTTCAAATTGAACCCTAATCATGGAGCATATGGATGATTTAGGATATGTGTATAGAAAGAGTACAGTAGAATCAATTAGGGTTTTAAAAAGGGAAGGGAGAGACAACAGAAATTTGAAAATGACTTGAAATCCGAAAGGGAGTATTATATTGGGCGGGCTTTTCTCCATTTCCCTTTTCCGAAAATTGATTTATTCCCACATACAATTTTTTTATATTATAATTTATAAAAATCATTACTTATTAAAAAAACGTGATTTTATAAAATTTACTAGTTGTGTACCCGCGTAATACGGTGAGAGCCGTGAATTTTAACGATTTTGAAGTTTCATTGGTTTTATTAGAGATGATTTAACGATGATATAAGTTACATTTGATCTTTACATATTAATACAATTTGAATAAATGAGAGTTATGGTTACAATTATAATCTATCGATGAAAAAAATTATATGACAGTTTAAAATCTAATATATTTAAAGTCCAACATATTTAAACGACTCCACAAATGTGTTTGATTTACACCAAGAGCAAAGAATCATGAGATCAAAAACGGGAACGAGAGCGAGAGTTCTAGAACAATTGAATGAGAGTTGAATGACTCATGGTGAATATCATTTTGAATCTCACATTGGGGGATGGAGAGAATACATAGAGGTAAGAGAGGGTGAAGACATGAGTGAAAGATGTCAAAAGTATCTTGAAAACATGAAAAGAAAAAGTAATAATGTGCATTGGTAACTTGTACTATATATTATTTTAATTGTAGATTAATAGATTTTAAGACTAAATGCATAAAGTTATAGTACTTAATGCATTATGAATTGTTTTTAAGACTTTTAAAACTTTATGCATAAATATATAGTACTTTGTGTATTAAAAATTGTTTTTAAGACTTTTGACAAATCTGATTTATAAGGTAGTATAGATTATTAATAATTCAATATCTTTAACTATTTTTTGTAAGATAAAATTAAGCATTTTTATACATCTTAATTAATTTTATTAACATCTTCTAACAAATCACATGTAAATGTAGAGATAAATAGGAGTGCTCAAAAAAAACGACCAGCCCAACCCGATATGAAATAACTCAATTTGAAACAATCTGATATCTAATCGAGTTGTAAAATCTTTTAATCCTATGTATTCGGTTGGAATTGGATTATGATCATTTGAACCCAACCCAACTCGATGAACCTGTTATCCTTTTATTTTTTGGTTTTAATATGATTGTTAAGTGTCTATTAATATGTACATTAGACAATTAGATCCTCATGTACCTTTTTATACACATATATGTTTTCATTCTCTTTTGCATCTCTATAATATTTCTTTGTACATATGTTCAGTAAATTTAAACATATCAATGCAAATTAAGAAAAGTAATTGAATATGATATATTTGAAATTTAAGGAATATGGATAAATTGTATCAAATGACAATGAAAAGAGATTAGTAGAGAAAGCAAGATATATAATGTTAGGAGAATATTTTGATGTAACAAATTATCAATTCGACCAACCCGTTTGGTTTGGTTTGGTTTGGGTTGCACTTTAGTTTGGGTTGAGTTGAGATTTTTCAAACTGCAAACATTGGGTTGGGTTGTTTAAATGTCTTCAACCCAACCTGTAAACACTCCTATAGGTAAATTTATCTAAAATATATAATATTGGAATTCCTTATAAATAAATAATAATAAAAACATTTTATTTAATGAATGTAGTACTTGACCTATACATACATGAAGATATACAAATAATTAAAATGTTCACATAGTATAAATCGATCCCAATTGTTAACGCAGACTATCAGATCAATGTCAACGATGCGGATTTAATCGGTTATGAAATCTATCCTCAATCTTATTTACAACGAGACCAATGACTCACATACCACTAGACCAAAGACCATTTGATCACGATGCCTAAGTTAATTCCCTGAAATAAGAACAAAAGGAAATTGGTTTTATTTTATTTTTTCAAATTAAATAAGTTTTTATCCTTGATTTATACAGAATATTGATTTTATAAAAATAAAAAAAATGATTGATTTTTTGAGCGCCAGGCATTACATTCATAAAAAATGGAAGAGGACATAACACCTAACGATTCATGAAGAGATATTGGATTTTATTTGGAAATTATATTTATAATTAAAGATTAGAAGGGTACTCACGCAACGCAGCGAGATACATCTTGATTTTAATATTTTATTTTATTTTTTATCTTAGTCGATATCATAATATGGTTTTAGTTGATTTTGAAAAAACGATGCTGTTTTTATTTTTCAATAAAATATAAATTTAAAGATATCATAAATTTTGACAAAAATATATCGATATTAGTATCAAATTAACTATTTAAATTTTTTTATTTTTGTGTAATTTTTTAATTCAATTTTTTTATTATAACTTAATTTTTTAGGTTCAGTAACGAAGTAAATTATATTTGGTTTAATAATATAATTTTCTTATAAAGATAATAATTAATTATTTTGTTAAAACTTGATAATTATCGTAATTATATTTTAGATTTTAAAATTAGATGTTTATCTTTTATTTAATTATGTTTATCCACAGTTAGTTATACGAATTCAAACATGTACTTTAATAAATTGTACTTTATGCATAATTTTTTTTTCTTATAAATATAATAATTAATTATTTTGTTAGAACTTGATAATTATCCTAATTATATTTTAGATTTTTTAGATTTTAAAATAAGATGTTTATYCTCTATTTGATTATATTYATMYGTAGTTAGTTACACGAATTCAAACATGGAGCTTTAATAAGTTGTACGTATGCATAATTTACTTGTAATATTGAATTTTAAGTAATATGTATTAATATACAGTACTTCATGCATAAAAAATGGTTTTTAAGAGTTTTTGTCAAATGTTTTATAATATAGTATAAATTATTTTTTTTATAATTTAATTTAAGTTTAATAATGAAATAATTTATTTTTAGTTCAATAATATAACATTTTATAAAGATAATAATTAAGTATTCTGTTAGAACTCAATGATTATCCTAATTATACTTTAGATTTTTTATATTTAAAATGAAATGTTTATCCTGTATTTGATTATGTTTATATGCAGTTAGTTACACGAATTCAGATATGGGATGAAATCGTTTAGGGATGAATGGGTTTAAGAGTTTTAAGAGTTTTAGTCAAATGCTTTATAAGATAGTATAGATATAGATAAAACAAAAGGAATCTTAAGTAAAAAGGGTAAAAATGTAATTTGGAAAAGTAGGCGAAGGGTAGCATTCGGGATTTGGTTGGTTGGTTGCTAGTGGAGTGGAGGGGTATCCTTTTACCGTTACGATAAAGTATCCAAAGCCCACCAGATAACATAAAGTCACATAAACAACCACTTTCATTGGCCCCTTTACCATCTAATCTAACCACTTATGGCCCAACTCACCTTCTCTAAACTCACATCATATAGGCCCATTAACTATTTTTTCCAATATCCACACCCCCAATTTGTCTTATTTATTCGGTTTTTATACTGGGTAAGTGTTCATCAGATCTATTACCTTATTAGATGAGTATATGAAGAACCGGGAATCTTCGAGTCTTACCTGGTAAATGAGGGTGGTGACTCTTTCCAAGTAAACGCTTACTGGGTGATAAACGGGTACTATCAATCTATTTTGGTAACAAGAAATGTTACCTAATAAGGTAACTGAATGTGATGACTTTTGAATGGAATAGTAAAAGCTTTCCAATTGAAGCAGTCATGCAACCAACACTTGTTCAACTTGATATGATTGTTTCGTTTAGTATGGCTTGATTTGACATTGGAAACCACAAACCGTCTTGTAGCATATAGTAGAGGTTAAGGGAGGTAGTTTAAAGGACGAACATGTCAAGGTCCTAGATGGATTTATCACTGATTCGGTCTGTCTAGTTAAATTGTGCACTTATATGAAAGACCCAATAGAGATTACAAAGTGTTCAAAAGTAAACGCAACCAAGGATGCTTTACACATTGTACTGTATAATGTATTAACACCCATGTTATGCCAGTTACCGTATTTATACATGTGTTCAAGTCAAAGTAAGTTTTTTTTGAAAGTATATAATATTTATATACGACAAATAGAACAAATAAACGCATACACCCTTGCATTCACCTATTCGCTAACATGTTTGATGAACATGTATAAACCTTTTGTAGCCCATTATCATCACATTAGATGTTCAACGGACCACGCTAAAAAAAAGAGACCTGTTTAATTGAAATAAGAACTGAAGTTATTCAGTAAAGTCATGTAAAATAGGGTCTCAAAAAATAACACGCAAAGGGCTTTCTTTTGTGTACAAGTAACAACTGTGTTTGGATCTCCAATAGATTCTTCAAAATGGAGAAAATTAGGACTTTAGGGACTATTTTGCACCAGCAGAAATCCCAGACCTTCTTCAAAATGCAGAAAATATGAGAAAAAAAGTAAAATTCTTTGTATATATGGAGAAATTTTTAAAATGATTATTTATTAGTGAGAAATGATATGTTTTTGGAATTATATGCCATTATATGTCTAAAAAGGGGGAAATAATATTTTGTTAAATCTATTGGATATTTTTATAATATAACTGATGCTATATTCTTTGAAATACAGAATATCTTGAAGTTGAGTATAAATTTCTTGAATACTTTTATTTTTGGCTCTCTATTTCAGAGTAAAATAGTGTGTGGCACCATTCACTGCGTAGTGACAATTTTTTTTTAAGAAATACAGACTTAAGTCAAGATGAAATATAATTTATGAGCTGACACTTGATAAAATGCAGTGTAATACATTTGATATATTTCGTGGGTGTTTTATATGTAAATCATCTCAGAAGATGGTCAAAAGAATTAATGTTCTGATGTTGAAATTTAAATGTGTATGATAAAAGGATACACGCAAGTGCATTAGTAAGACATAATACATATGAGTAGAAAGAAATTATGTGTTTGTCTATTAACAGAGATGTATAAAATAGTGGATTAATTGGTTGAAAAATGAATTAGAATATTGAAGGACAATCAATAG